TGCCTTCACAAATATAACTTAACTACTAAGATGTTAGGTGTTTAGTGAGATGCTCCAACTTACTCCAGACCTCCTATCCTCCAGTCTGTCTCCTTGCCTGATTGATAGGAACAAAACAGAGTCTTAGCTGATACTAGAGTAGTATCACATAGTCATTTGTAGAGGAAGAAGACAAAAAAAGCCTTAGAGGTGTATTTTTCCAGAGTCCTGGGAAGATGCTTCATTGGAAAATAATGGACATTCAGCAAGTACTATTTGATATAGGCAAATTCTTTCTTGAAATAGCAATTGTTTTGTTAATAACTGAATATCTTCTTGATTCTGTCAAGATTAAAAAAAAAATACTCTAGGGGCTGGGAAAGTGGTTCAGTGGTAGAGTGCTTGCCTCACATGCATGAGCCCCTGGGTTCGATTCCTCAGTACCACATAAACAGAAAAAGCCAGAAGTGACACTGTAACTCAAGTGTAGAACGCTAGCTTTGAGCTGAAGAGTTGAGGGACAGCGCCCAGGCCCAGAGTTCAAGCCCCACGACTGACGACAAAAAAAATAAATTAATTAATTAAAAAAAAAATATATATATATATATAATAGGAACTAGTTACAAAAGTCACCTATTAGTGAAGTAAACCTTTATTTTCTAAGGATTCAGCTTTCTTTTTTTTGCTTATGTGGTGCTGAGGAATTGAACCCAGGGCCTCATGCATGCAAGGCAAGCGCTCTACCACTGAGCCACCTTCCCAGCCCCTAGGGATTCAGCTTTCTTAAATGAAATTCTAAATTATATTATCTAACATTTGTTTAAGCAATTATTTTCCTCATTATTTTAAAACAGTAATCTATTACAATTGGAGGGGGATGGGGGCAGCTGTTCTTGGGGTTTGAACTCAGCACCTGGGCATTGTCCCTGAGCTCTTTTGCTCAAGGTTATCATTCTGCAACTTGAGCCACAGCTCCACTTCTAGCTTTTTTGATGGTTAAATGAAGATCAGAGTCTCGTGGACTTTCCTGTCCGTGCAGGCTTCAAACCACAATTCTTAGTTCTCAGCCTCCTGAGTAGCTAGGATTATAGGCATGAGCCAACAGTGGCCAGCTTTTTTTTTTTGGGGGGGGGGTCCGGTCATGGGGCCTGAACTCTGGGCCTGGGCACTGTCCCTTAGCTCTTCAGCTCAAGGCTAGTGCTCTACCACTTGAGCACAGTGCCACTTCCGGCTTTTTTCTTTTTGCTTATGTGGTGCTGGGGAATCGAACCCAGGGCCTCAGGCATGCAAGGCAAGCGCTCTACCACTGAGCCACCTTCCCAGCCCAGCTTTTTTTTTTTTAATGCTGCTACTGGATGTTGAACTCAGAGCCTTGGCCAGTCAAGGCTAGTGCTCTATCACTTGAGCCACAGCTCAAGTGATTTTTAATATATTTTTCTTTGTCTTTTCAGACTATTAGACCCAAAAAGGATATTACCAGCCATGCTATTTTACCTATCAAATCTACAAGGACTATCACCACTAAACTCCAGTCCGGACCAACTAATATCTTTGGGTCTCAGAAGTCAAAGTTAGACCCACTTCTGAGCAAAATGCCAACTTCAAGATATGCTTCTTCTAACCCAAATTGTAAACCATACAGCAAGAATCACCAGCAGCATGAAACTGGGTCATCCACTGCAGAACTGTCAACAAAACCTAGGAGGTCCTCTACTACACAGGAATTGAAAACTATAAAGCAGCATGGAGCCAGTCAGGGAAATGCTAAATGGATGGACTCTATGGATAATTCCCATGGTGAAAACAAATCTTTGAGTGGCTTTGTAAAAGAGATGAACAAAGAGAACTTGCTCCAAACTTCATCAGAACCTAAGCAAAAGCCAGATCCTGAATTACGTATTCTAAGTAAGCCAAAGACTAACACTTACAAGCAAACCAAGTGTAGTTTGGCTCCTAAAAAAGTCTTAAGCAAAAATTCAGTTAATAGTGCTGTTCTGAAAGACAGAGTTAATAAAAAAAATGTTGGAGAAACACAAATCTGGACTCTACCAGTAAAATCACAGCAACTCTCTAGAATTGCAGCTTGTACAAAACCAAGAGAAAAGTCCTCAAGGACAGTTCCCTCTCACTTTATTCAGACCCATAGTAGGTCTCAAGCATCAACAAAACCAGTGGTTAAGGATATAAATGATATGAAGGCCAATAGGGATAAATATGGAAGACCAAATGAAACTAAGTTACAGTCACTCCATACTACTGAACAGAAGGTAAAACCCATGAGACTTACAACACATCCAAACTTGCTTCAGGGAGCAACTAACCAACATCCAAACAGCAAGCAAGATCAGAAGACTAGACAACATTCTCTAAGACCTCAGACATCAGTCATTCCAAGCACTCCTAGCATAAAAGCAAACAGAACCAATGATAACAAATTTAACATCTTTCAACAAAAAGCACAGACTTTGAACTCCAAGTTGAAAACTGCTCTTCCCCAGAAGCATTTTCTGAACAAGACAGCTCCCAAAACTAAAGCAGGCATCACAACCATAAATGGGAGAGGAGTCCCAAATGATACCCAAACCAATCCAAATACTAAAAAGAAGGCAGCAACAGAGGATCGAAGGTACATTGTTTTGATTCTAAAATGTTGTGACTTAATATAATCTATTATCAAGAGTATTTGGTCAGGAAATAGTTTCTAAGTTATTTTTAATTACAGCCTATCAAACAAGATTTAGATTAACTGTGGCAAATGTTGAGACTTAGCAGAGCTGGGTGATATGTACATGTGTTGTAAGGCATTCTATAATTTAAAAAAATATAGCATTTAAACAGTCAGGCATGGTGGCTTACATTTATAATCCTAACTACTCAGGAGACTGAAATCTGGAAGATCAGTGTTCAGAGCTAGCATAGGCAGTAAAGTCTGAGAGTCTCTGTCTCCAAAATAACACCAGCAAAAAGCCAGGCTAGAGGTATGGCTCAGATAGTAGAGTGCCAGCTGAGCAAGCCCTGGTACTAACCTAAAATTAAAAAAAAAAAAAATAGATGAGAAAGAAATCAGGGCTGCAAGTATAGACTGCTCACTCAAGAAGTACCTGCAGGGACTGAAAAACATCTAAGACAAGGAGGTAAAAAGGGACCCTAATAGTGAGTTCACATAAATACGAAGTGGTTAGTGGTGGTTCCTTGTCAAGCAGGCCTGTCATTGAATCCAATAAAGTTTTCAGAGAAGAAGAACAAGAAGCTGCATGAGTCAGAGTAGATAAGTTTTGGAAAGTAAGATAACATAGAAAGGAGCATTTGTCCAAATGTTGAGCTCAGATGGAAGAAATAAGCAGGTTCTTGGGTTGTTGGGACAACATGCATGATACTTGAAACTTGAGCCAAAGGACTTCATACACTTTCTCCCCAAGCATAGTCTCAGAATGAGGTGAACTTCCCAAGAAGAACACAGGCGTGTATGTGGTTGCAGTGAGCATAAAGAGGTAAAAGGAGCATGGAAACTTACATGATAGCTGACAGGTGCCAAGAGAGTAAAGTGAGGTCAAGATTTAATCTTAGGATAAACACTACCAACAAGCTCTTTGCCCCTGTGCACAGATACATAACTGAGAGGGAAGGGCTGAGATGACCAGCTTAGATACAAGGGTCAGGGAAGGTACTTCCAACAGTCACATCTGAGTTGAGAGCTAAGACTGATGGCAAGAAGGACCAACCATCTGAGTACAAAGAAAAGTGATTGAGAAACCCCTGAGCTAGTAAATGAGTTCCCAGACAAGAGAGAAGTGGTCATAAGACAGGTTGTGGCTTGTTGCACATGATTACTTTGATGGCAAAGGTTCCATGCATTCACATATTCCTTTAGCAACTTCTGATGTGCCAGGCTCAGGAAGGAACTAGAGCAGTGAGCACATAGTCAGTCTCTACCCCTCTGTAACTTATGATTTGGGGTATATATGGAAAGTCTTAGAGAAATAAAATACTGGCATTGAGATGCTAGGAACAAGCTGATTTTAGAAAAAAAAGGTTCCCCCTTTGTTTATGATGAAAAGGAAGGCTGTGAAGGTAGCAAGAATTCCAGGGACATATCTCAACTTCTGTTGTTAGGTAAGCAGAATGAAAGTGAATAAAAAATGTTGAGGCCAAAATAAGCTATTCATAAGTACAAATGGTACTCTGAAATCGAAAAGAAACAAAAGAGCTAATGACATCCTTTTTTTTTTTGTCGGTCATGGAGCCTGAACTCTAGGCCTGGGCACTGTCCCTCAGCTCTTCAGCTCAAGGCTAGTACTCTACCACTTGAGCCACAGCGCCACTTCTGACTTTTTCTGCTTATGTGGCCCTGAGGAATTGAACCCAGGGCCTCATGCATGCAAGACAAACGCTCTACCACTGAGCCACCTTCCCAGCCCTAACATCCATTTCTTAATATTTACTTATTAACATCACTTAAAAACCAAAACTGTAGGGTCAAAAAAAAAAAAAGCCAGGCTGGGAGCATGGCCTAGTGATGGAGTGCTTGACTATCTTGCATGAAGCATGACATAAACAGAAAAGGCCGGAAGTAGCCCTGTGGCTCAAGTGTAGAGTGCTAACCTTGAGCAAAAGAAGCTCAGGGACAATGCCCAGGCCCTGAGTTCAAGCCCCCAAGTCTGGCCAAAAAAAAAAAAAAAAAAAAGCCAAATTGATGATCTCTAGGAATTAGAGAATAGAGGTAAGGTTTACTAGTAAGTAGCAAATGGATTAGTGGGTTGGGCTTGTCTTATATCTTGATTATAGTTATTGTTACATGTCTTCATACATTTATACTCATGGAATCTCACACTTTAAAAAGATAAACTTGGGGCTGGGAAGGTGGCTCAGTGGTAGAGCGCTTGCCTTGCATGCATGAGGCCCTGGGTTCAATTCCTCAGCACCACATAAGCAGAAAAAGCCAGAAGTGGCGCTGTTGCTCAAGTGGTAGAGCACTAGCCTTGAACTGAAAAGCTGAGGGACAGTGCCCAGGCCCAGAGTTCAAGACCCACGACTGACAAAAAAAAACGATAAACTTTACTGATATCATTACATAAACCTGTGTGGGCCAGGTATTGTGCTAGGCACTATTCATTTCTGCCTTCACAGAGCTTGCATCCTAGAGACAGACAAGCAATATGCTGACTACATAAGACTGGATAGTCACAGATAATTACTCTTTAAGGAAGTGTCATTTGAACAGGGGATGGAAGATGCAAGACCTTGAGGCAGGAATGGGCATGGATTAAGAAAATGAAAGGATGATGGGCTGGGAAGGTGGCTCAGTGGTAGAGCGCTTGCCTTGCATGCTCAAGGCCCTGGGTTCGATTCCTCAGCACCACATAAGCAAAAAAAGAAAAAAGCCGGAAGTGGCACTGTGGTTCAAGTGGTAGAGCATTAGCCTTGAGCTGAAGAGCTGAGGGACAGCGCCCAGGCCCAGATTTCAGGCCCCACGACCGGACCCAAAAAGAAAAAAAGAAAATGAAAGGATGCCCAAGTTCCTGATAGGTAGTGGCCAAGAGGGAGATGAAACATAGGTTGAGGTGTAGGCAAGAGCAAATTTATACCATGTATTTCAGCCATAGAGAACATTTTGAATTGTATTCCACAAGACATAGGTAGCCCTTGGCAGTGACACGATCTCCTTTACAGCCTGCCTACAGATCAGCAATTGTGTGCAGCATGAGTTTAAGGAAGGTGAGAGTGGAAGCGAGATCAATTAGTAAAGCTGCCACAGCATTTCAGACAGAAGGTAACAATGATGGGGACCAGCATGGTAGTACTGTATGCAGAAGCAGTACTGAATCTGTAAGTGATGTGTCAGATATGCAGGAAAGAAAGAAACTACTCAATACAACACCTGTTTTCAGCCCGAGAAACTGAGTAGACTAGGATGGTATTTATCAAGGGGAGAAAACCAGGGACAAATCCGGAGATGAAAATCAAGAGCTTTGTTTTGCACAATATTAAATTGAAATGTATCACACATCAAATAAAAGATACCAGCCTAGACAGTGTGTTTAGGAAATCTGTAGCTCCCACAGAAGACCTGCAAATGTGCAGATCATTGATACATAATTATAATTTAACAAAGCTGAAGCTTGTGTATATAACCACTTGGGCCTGCATATCTTTATAAATCCACCTGTAGTCCTCCAAGAGTATATTACCTGCTTGAAAACAGGAATGGAGCCAGGCATTGGTGGTTCACATCTGTAATCCTAGCTACTCAGGAGGCTGAGATCTGCAGATCACAATTCAAAGCCAGCCCAAACTGGAAAGTCTATGAGACTCTTACCTCCAGTTAACCATAAGAAAACCAGAAGTGGAACTGTAGCCTAAAGTGGTAAAGCACTAGCTTTAAGCAGAAAAGTTTAGTGACATCTTAGAGTTCATTTCCCATGACTGACAAAAAAGAAAAAAGTGGGGGGTGTGAGGAGTAGAGAATGCAAGTAATATAATCTGGCCATGCATATACTATACTTTTGTCAGTTGGTTTATATGTGCAAATGGCCCTATGCATGTTTTCATAAATGTTTATAATTTAGATCTAACTTATACATAACCCCTTTAAACAATTAACAGGTTAGCAAAAAGGCTCTCAAGAAGCTGAAATATGTTCTGTCAGAGGAGAGGTGAGGTCAAGGGGAAGGAAGGCAAACAGACAGGCAAATGAATAAAGGAAGGATGACCAATATACATATGTAAAAGTGGAACTTGAGAGTGTGGTAACTTGAGGAAACGGGTGCAGTTGGATGGTAGGAAAATGATTACAACTACTTAAAGATAATAATAACTAAAAAAGTGAAAGAGAGAGGAGAATGTGAATAATGTAAGTTAATACTTGTCAGAGAGGAACTACTTAAGTACAGTACAGAAAGCCAAGCATGGTGATGCAGACATGTAACCATAGCACTTGGAAGGAGAAGCAAGAGGATTTTTAAGTTCAAGGATAGCTTGGCTACATAATGAGACTGTCAAAAAATACTAAAAACTTCAAGAAAGCAAAGAGTCCTGAAAATATTAATGTAGTTTATGAAAGAAAGTCAGGAGAGCACAAGGAATTGGGTGAAATGTGTTACTTTGAGCACCAAGACCCTATTGAAGGCAAAATGCAGATTTGGTGGGTCTTGGCTGAATGATCAAAAGCATCTGGTAGAAAAAATGGAGTGGTAAGTTGGTACTCTCAGAAATGAAAAGCTATCCTAGGAATGCAAATGTCCAAACTAGCATATAGAGAAATTAAAAATAATGAATATAATTAGGAAGTTGAGGTAGTTGAAGGTTGAAATGCTGGCCACCTATAATCATTCTCACATCAATCTTGCAATGAGTAGGACTGACCCAGTGCTATCATTGTCCATTTGTTGATTATTTCTTAATTCATTCTCTGGTCTCTGTCCATAGTTGAAGGTTTACTTACTTCCATTCTCCACATATACTATACTTTAAGAGCTAGACTTTGTTTTTTTTTGTTTGTTTGTTTTTTGTTTTTGGGTCCGGTCGTGGGGCCTGAACTCTGGGCCTGGGCGCTGTCCCTCAGCCCTTCAGCTCAAGGTTAGCGCTCTACCACTTGAGCCACAGCGCCACTTCCGGCTTTTTTCTTTTTGCTTATGTGGTGCTGAGGAATCGAACCCAGGGCCTCAAGCATACAAGGCAAGCACTCTACCACTGAGCCACCTTCCCAGCCCCTAGACTTTGTTTTGAAAAACTAAAGCCATCCTTCCTTACTCTTTAATTGCATAACAGGAAACAACTTGAAGAATGGCAAAAATCCAAGGGGAAAATCTATAAACGTCCTCCTATGGAATTTAAAACAAAAAGAAAAATAATAGAAGAAATGAATATTTCATTCTGGAAGAGCATTGAAAAAGAAGAAGAAGAAAAGAAAGCACAATTGGAACTGTCCAATAAAATTAACAACACTCTGAAAGGATGTCTGCAGCTCATTGAAGAGGTTAGTATGAAAGATGAGCTTGCAGAGCTTTGAACTAGAGTCTTGGGCTCACACTTAAACATCAACTATTTCTTTCTTGTGAAGTTAGAAATTCAATTCATGCTTTTTAGCTTCTTTGTTTTTATAGCATGAAAAAATACACAAGTACATTCATATTAAAATGATTTTAAATGATACAACAATGAATAAGCCTCCCTACACACACACACACACACACAAACACAAACAGACACACACATTGCTGCTCTCACATGTGACCACTATTGCCAGCAGTTTTCTGTTGGTTTTTTTTTTTTTTGGGGGGGGGGGGGGCCCAGCCATGGGGCCTGAACTCTGGGCCTGGGCGCTGTTCCTCAGCTCTTCAGCTCAAGGCTAGAGCTTTACCACTTGAGCCACAGCGTCACTTCCAGCTTTTTTCTTTTTATGTGATGCTGAGGACTTGAACCCAAGGTCTCATGCATGTGAGGCAAGCACTCTACCACTGAGCCAACCTTCCCAGCCCAGCTTTTTTTTTTTTAATGCTGCTACTGGATGTTGAACTCAGAGCCTTGGCCAGTCAAGGCTAGTGCTCTATCACTTGAGCC